GATAATGATGTTAAAATCAGAAAAGAAGAGCTAGAGCCAGTCTGCCATACTGAGTAGTTGCATTTGTGATGACCTCCTCTGAATCTGTTGAATATGTGAAGTAATCTGGCCTTCAAGGAAGTCACGGATCTATATATCAGTTGGTAACATTCAGAGGCTAACCTTGGAGGGTTTTAAAGATGATTCAAGCAGAAGTCTAGCACCTAAAGAAGGCCTTTCTCTGTGGCCTACTTTAGCCTTCTAAACTACAGGGCGGCTGTTACCCAGTAACCAGTACAACTGATTGCACAGCATGAAGGAACATTCTGGTCCACCTATTATCCAATCCGTCAAGTTATCCATATGCTTATTTTTAGTTTATTTCATAGTCTGGCAGAGATAAAACTGCCTTCAAGATTGCGACTACTCTAGTGGCTTTGTAGTGGTGGGGATTTCATGCACATGGAACTCATGTATCTCAAAGTGTGGAGAACCATTTTACAAATTTTCTTTATGAACTTGGGCCTCAATTTAATTATTTAAAATCACAAACTGTTAGAAGAGTTGGAGACTCCTATCGATAAATCATTTGAAAAACTTTATTAACAGATGGGGGTCATGTGGAAAGCTTATCCAAAGGAATTAAATTGAGGCCCAAGATGGAGATAGATAAATAAGATAATAAGCCCTACATCCAGCTATCAACGTAAAGCACTCCTCAACTATAATATGCTCCTCAGCCGCACACCTTCAAGCTGAAGGCTCATGTCCCCTCTGTGTCTCATCCATACAACCTGCTAAGAAAATTAGGAAAAATAAGGCTGCAGGAGAATAATGGTTGCATAAAAGTTTTCAATGAAATCAAAACTCAAGGGGTCTCTCCAGTACTGGAATCAATGGGTGACTATGGACGCTCCAGGCCATGGTAGACCAGACTATGTTCTCATTTCTTCTGCCTGACAAGTAGAGGGCTGGAGGGACTTATCAAGATTGAAATAGGCAGAACAGTGGATATTCAGTATATGCATTTAAAAATAAAAATGCTGGTTATTGTCTTTATATTATTTAGATCCTCTTCATTTTTCCTTCTTCTTGTTTTTTTCCTTCCATTTCACGATATGCTACCTGCAGTTCAGATTTATATTGACATATTGGTTGCTATGCAGTTATCTTTTTTCATGTATCATATCTACAATCTACATCAGGCATGGTGAGTGGCTATGTACACTATCAAGTATTATTTTACCCTGTCTACTTCTTTGCAACTATAATTGATATCTTTATATATATTTATATAGTAAAAAAAAAAAAAAAACACAAAAACTTCTAATTTGCTTCATTTTATTGGGGCGAATCTTTATTGATCTGTAATTCACTACTCATTTTTTATCTTAATGTGTTTTGTTATTTGATGTGGCATGTGGTAAAAAATAAGGACCATTATAAGGTTATATTTTCAGCTTTCTAGTCCCCATTATGGATTGATTCCTTATCCTGGTACTAGATCTTTAACACTCACCTTCTTTATCAATTTCCAATCTACACCTCTCCTTCACACCACTTTTTCACTTCACAAGTTTAACTAGACACTGGTATTGTACCACTCAACCTCTCTTCCCTCCCTCATGACAGTTGTGTTCTTCTATCTTAGTTCTTCCAAGCATGTAAGATCATTTGGGCAGGGTCCTCTTCCCCTTTTATATCTGTTAACATTATTTTGTCTGTCACATACTTTCTCTTGTAGAACACCAGTACTGTGAAATATGTTAAAGGGACACTATAGTCACCTGAACAACTTCAGCTTAATGAGGTTGTTCAGATGAGAACTATAGCTCACTGCAACCCTTCTCATGTAAACACAGTATTTTCTGAGAAAATACAGTGTTTACATTGAAAGCTAGGAACACCTCCAGTTGCAGTCACTCAGAGTGAACCAGAGGGACTTCTGAGTTGATGGATGTGCACGAGCATCCTGTGATTCAGTATCTCCTTCCTCTGCCTACAGACACTGAACTTTCCTCATGAGGAGATGCTGATTGGCCAGGGCTGTGTTTGAATCATGCTGGCTCTGTCCCGATCTGCCTCCTTGTCAGTCTCAGCCAATCCTATGGGGAAGCACTGTGATTGGATCAGGCTATCACATGTCAGCAGACTGCTTGTTTTTCCTGCGTCTAACAGCATGCAGATTCACAGCTTCTGGCTTGAATACAGTAAGATTTTTACTATATTTATGGAGGCATGAGGGGCCTATAGGGTCAGGACTACATGTAGTTGCACTGGTGACTATAGAGGGAGTGCAGAATTATTAGGCAAGTTGTATTTTTGAGGATTAATTTTATTATTGAACAACAACCATGTTCTCAATGAACCCAAAAAACTCATTAATATCAAAGCTGAATATTTTTGGAAGTAGTTTTAGTTTGTTTTTAGTTTTAGCTATGTTAGGGGGATATCTGTGTGTGCAGGTGACTATTACTGTGCATAATTATTAGGCAACTTAACAAAAAACAAATATATACCCATTTCAATTATTTATTATTACCAGTGAAACCAATATAACATCTCAACATTCACAAATATACATTTCTGACATTCAAAAACAAAACAAAAACAAATCAGTGACCAATATAGCCACCTTTCTTTGCAAGGACACTCAAAAGCCTGCCATCCATGGATTCTGTCAGTGTTTTGATCTGTTCACCATCAACATTGCGTGCAGCAGCAACCACAGCCTCCCAGACACTGTTCAGAGAGGTGTACTGTTTTCCCTCCTTGTAAATCTCACATTTGATGATGGACCACAGGTTCTCAATGGGGTTCAGATCAGGTGAACAAGGAGGCCATGTCATTAGATTTTCTTCTTTTATACCCTTTTTTGCCAGCCACGCTGTGGAGTACTTGGACACGTGTGATGGAGCATTGTCCTGCATGAAAATCATGTTTTTCTTGAAGGATGCAGACTTCTTCCTGTACCACTGCTTGAAGAAGGTGTCTTCCAGGAACTGGCAGTAGGACTGGGAGTTGAGCTTGACTCCATCCTAAACCCGAAAAGGCCCCACAAGCTCATCTTTGATGATACCAGCCTAAACCAGTACTCCACCTCCACCTTGCTGGCGTCTGAGTCGGACTGGAGCTCTCTGCCCTTTACCAATCCAGCCACGGGCCCATCCATCTGGCCATCAAGACTCACTCTCATTTCATCAGTCCATAAAACCTTAGAAAAATCAGTCTTGAGATATTTCTTGGCCCAGTCTTGACGTTTCAGCTTGTGTGTCTTGTTCAGTGGTGGTCGTCTTTCAGCCTTTCTTACCTTGGCCATGTCTCTGAGTATATTACACATCTTGTTCTTTTGGGCACTCCAATGATGTTGCAGCTCTGAAATATGGCCAAACTGGTGGCAAGTGGCATCGTGGCAGCTGCACGCTTGACTTTTCTCAGTTCATGGGCAGTTATTTTGCGCCTTGGTTTTTCCACACGCTTCTTGCGACCCTGTTGACTATTTTGAATGAAACGCTTGATTGTTCGATGATCACGCTTCAGAAGCTTTGCAATTTTAAGGGTGCTGCATCCCTCTGCAAGATATCTCACTATTTTTGACTTTTCTGAGCCTGTCAAGTCCTTCTTTTGACCCATTTTGCCAAAGGAAAGGAAGTTGCCTAATAATTATACACACCTGATATAGGGTGTTGATGTCATTAGACCACACCCCTTCTCATTACAGAGATGCACATCACCTAATATGCTTAATTGGTAGTAGGCTTTCGAGCCTATACAGCTTGGAGTAAGACAACATGCATAAAGAGGATGATGTGGACAAAAAACTCATTTGCCTAATAATTCTGCACTCCCTGTACACACACTTGCACCCACAGATACACACACTGGCATATACACACACTCAGATACACACATTGACACATACACACAGTGTCATATACACACACTGACACACAGATACACACACTGACACACATACACTGACAAACACACATACTCTTTGACAGACACACATACACTCTCACTGACAAACACACATACTCTTTTACAGACACACATCCAAACACATATACTCTCTCACTGTAAAGCACACATACATTCTCACCGACAAACACATACACACATTTACTGACAAACACACATATACTCTTTGACAGACACACAAACATATACAAACTCCCTAACAGACACACATACAATTTATTATTTTTTTAAAATTTTACTCCACCCAGCCCCCCTACCTTGAGTGCTAGCATGGAGTCTATGTCCCTGTGGTCGAGTGGGGCTGCTGGGCTGAGCGTGCAGTCCCTGGGGTCCAGTTGGGCTGCTGGTGTGCGATCCCCGGGGTCCAGTGGGGCTGCTGAGCGGTAATGAAGTGATC